TATAATGGATTATGCCGAAATCACTAACTTAATCAAATCGGCCAAACGATAATTCGGCTAATTTTTATCAGGTGTTTTAGGAATTATGATAATAGCTATAAACTAGCACAATACTTATAAATGACATGCCAATTTGCAATGTTATTATAACAAGTGATTTTACCTTCTCATATCTCTAAGCTACAAAAATTTAACTGATTATATCGGGTTAACCGAGTCAACTGATTATATCAGGTCAGCCGGATCAACCGAGTTATTCGGGTCAACTGGGTCAACCAAGTTATTCGGGTCAACCGGGTCAACTGAGTTATTCGGGTCAACCGATTATATCGGGTCAACCGAATAACTGGGTTAACCGGTTAAGCTTTTGCTTAACCAGGTCACCCAATTTTTTCGGTTCGGTTACCCAATTATGGTCTAACCGGGTCAAATCATTATCATCACTAACTGGTGATGCCAATGGTGCATTTATAGTTGGCAAATGTTCTCTACAACACAAAAATTATCATAAAATATTGACTCGCAGAGCTTATTATTAGTTGGGGAGAAATTGTTATATTAAAAAAATTGTAGTTCCTATAATACCTGGATGCTGCAGTCATGTATGCCTATAAATGCTTAACGGGTGGTGCGCATTTCGCCGACAATCACTTCATCGACAGCTTAGTTCACCGACAATTAATTCACAGACAAGTTTATTTTACTGACAATTATTTCACCAACAACATTTCACCAACAAAGTAATTCTAGTCATTGTTGTTAGAATTAGAGTTAAGGTTAGTGTAATTTATAAAAAATACTTGTCGGTGAAATTAGCTATCAGTGAAATAATTGTTGGTGAAATGAACTTGTCTGTGAATTAATTGTCGGTAAACTAAGCTGTCTGTGAAGTGATTGTCAGTGAAATAATATGTATCCATGCTTAACAATGCAAAGATAAAGGTGCAGAATACATTGCATTGCTGAAATATAAGTGAAACTGATTAAGTGGTTCACTTGGATGTAAAGAATAAATTAAGAAAGTATTAGTTATAAAATTAGAAACACCAACGAGAGAATGAAGTAAAAATAGATACTTTCTGCAAAACATATATAAAAGGCCTTTACTTTCACCTTACTTTAGCTTAGAACTTTATTACTATAGAATTCTCACCTTAGAAATAGATATTTCTTATCTTTTTATATATTCTTATATATATATTGGTTGTGCCTCTTTCGAATAAAGTCTTATTGAAATCCTCTTTATAAAGTCATATAAAAGACTTTACCATTTATCTTCCACATCACCGAAGATAAATATCCATATTATATCAGCCCCATCCCTTGAGAGTCTTAGAGAAGAGACTTTTGGGTGTGACACCGTATTCCTCCGAATAAGCACCCCTTTTTTGCTATAAGGTTGCTTATTTTCGGGTATAATCTCAACTAATAATTTGAATGATTTGATATATAGTTACTTATTTCTATTATATAAGAGGTGCTTATTTTCGGGTATATATGAATTCATCACGAAGTTATAAATAAATAATAAATCTAGATGATTAACCCGGGTTAATCAATCTAAAAAAGCATTGAAAAACAGGGGCTTCGTTAAACATTGCAATGTATAAAATATCAATATTCAATGTATAATATGTTATTTAACTATCTAGTTGTATTATGCAATGATTATCTTTAAAGGTACGATGTTTATTCTTTTAAATTAAACAACGAGTTGATTATTGATTTTAAAACTTCCTGATGTTGTAGGAGGTGCTTACTTTCGGGGGGTGCTTATTTTCTGAGGAATACGGTAGCTGAAAAATTTCGCTGGCCAATCAAACTTCAGTAAACACAAAAAATCAATAGTTTTGTACGAGAGCTTTACACAATTATAATCAATTTCGTATACCATCCAACCAAGTCGCCGAATATACATAACCAAATCCTCTTTTGCCAATTTCTTTAACGTTAGATACCATATAAGCGCGAAGCAACGCCCACCTGTGTGCTATTTCAAAATAATAGTTGATTTTCTAAATCCAATACAGTCAACCTTCTATAACTGCATGTCATTTGGTAAAAGTGCATTTATAGAATATTCATTTATGGTGCATAATCTACATATAACGATAATATTAAATAATTTTCATTAGACTGGTCTAATTATGTGCACTTATATTATAGGGAAGTGCACATATAAAGAGCACATATGGAGTGCCGACTGTATATCATTTTATCGCAACAAATTATGTGACACATTAGGATACGCGTTAATTCGGGACGTTGTTTCGAAATAAAAGTAAATCCAATATAGTCAACCTTCCATAACTGCACGGTTTTGGGTAAAAGTGCATTTATAGAATATTCATTAATGGTGTATAATCTACATATAACGATAATATTAAATAATTTTCATTAGACCGATCAAATTATGTGCACTCATCATTATAGAGAAAGTGCATGTGAAGTGCAATTATAGAGAGTGCACATATGGGCAACAATAAATTATGTGCTACATTAGGATGCTAATGTCGAGAACATATAAGAAGGATCCGATTTTCAAAATAATGCCCACGAGCGTTATTTCACGCTTATACGGTAACTTTGTTGAATGAAAATCCGCTCAATTGCATTCCTAGGGTTCTAAGTTGAAATTGCAATCATTAATATTCTCATTTTTTACTTGTTGGGATCACATGCCAAATACCATGCAATGTGGTTACTTTAATCATTGTAAAATATTATATGTATTTTTTATATCATTAAAAAATTTATTGTAATACTCACTGACCGAATAGAAGTAATCTGAAAGTTATTAGTGTTTGTAAACATGAATCGCTTTTTAATCCACCGATTAATAGATCATCTTTATATTCGCCCATCGAATTAAAGGTGAATGATGACATACAGTATTAATACAGAACACTTATACGGCATACGGCATTTATACGGCATGCGGCATTTCTACTTATACGGCAAATATGCTGTATCGCCGTGATATTTTTGCTGGGGTAGCTACATCCAAAATTCTAAATGTCTGCACTTCTAGTCATAACAGTTACTATAGTTATTACAACATATTAGAGTCATATAATCGGCTCGCGGCTCTAAACCGGCTCGGCTAACTAACGGCTCAGTTTGTATTACGTGGAGCCGTTAAATAACTCAGCTAAGCCGATCGGCTTACGGTTCTGCAGAGCCGTTTTGCATCACTATAAGTCCAAATCTAGGACTTAAGTCCCGAATTAGGACCCATAGCAGATCTATGCTCCTAGGTCCAAAATTTAGGACCTAATTTTTAAAAATTAGGTCCCAAGAAGACCAGATCCTAGAGACCTGTCCCAAGGACTTTACCATCTCTACCTGTACCCCAACCCTACTGATGAGTCAAATCCGCCCATATGTTAGTAAAATTACCGGCCTAATTTTTGATCGTCGCTCTTAGCCAATCAAAATCGATAAATCGATTTCACATTCAAGAAAAATATGCAAGAAAAATTTTTAGCAATGAACTTATTCAATATATACACTCCTCTGTATCGCACGCACTTCATTGTTTTGTCATTTAGGCTTCTCCAATCTCAAGTCGGAATGCTCAAACTCACCAAATCTCGTCAACTAACAATGATCCGACCCTATAGTAGTCCTCAAGAAAATGGAAGGTAAGAAGCATTATTCCAGTCGATTGTAACAAAACTACAAAATTCATTTGCTCTTTCCAGACAAACGGAAAAAGGACTGAAAAAGTATTCAAGATCGTGGTGACTGAATCGCTCAATAAAGTGTGCTGAGATTTTAGTTTTCCAATATCTTATACGTTTATTCTAGCCAACCAGGAAGAAAGTTTTATCTACGATGGGCATTGGCCTTATTATTTCTTACTTGTACTTTGCCTACGAAAGTCCCAGAGCTCGGGACAGAAACCTGGTGAATGTTTTCAAGAAGGGAAAAATCTGTCGGGAGATCAATCTACCTCTCTCAAAAAAACTGTTCAAACGCGAGAAACTTGAAAATGATCTGAAGAAAACTTTGCAACTCCCTTTACCTTTAAATAATTACTTTCTGATTTTGGGCGAACATGGAACGGGAAAAACAACCTTGGTTCAAAATACCATCTTGAATCTCCAGGAGCCAAAGGTAAAATATTTAATGATCTTTTTCCTGTTCGATTTATTCACATTCGATTTCATCTCGGTAGGGTGTTGCGTACTTTGAGTGTCCCTTAAATGTGAAAGATTTTGCGAAAAATTTGTCAAAACATCTTGATTGTGAATTATATCCATTTAAGCTTCGAGACGTTATCGTGCAGTGGATAACCAGAAAAGGTATCATATAGTTCTTTTTGCTTCATAACAATTTTTTTCTCACAAAAGCTTTACTTGGCATGTAGAACAAGATGATCATTCAAAATACCCTAATTGGAACCTTTTAAGCATGCAACTCCTCAACATTATGTGAATGAATACAAACGCCCCATAGTCTTGATCCTTGATCAAGTAGACCGCATTGCCAAAGATGACCCAAAGTTTCTTGGGATACTTCAAGATTTTGCGAAGGACTGCGCGGATAAAGGCTCCATTGTCGTTGTATTTATTGCGAGTGAAGGCATTTCTCCGCAAATTATGAAATGTAGTGATGCTATGGTTTTCAATACTCTGCTGTATACTGTAGAGTTGGTCTCGAAACGAAACCTACCTGAAACTAGTTTCGGGAAGGTTCTAATCCGAAACTAGTTTCGGATTTTTTTAAAAAAAACCGAAACCCGAAATTCCCGAAACTATAATCCGAAACTCCGAAACCCTAGTTGACCAATCAGGATGTATGATCAAGTGTAACATTAAAATCGAAGCGATTACTAACTCTTAATTTGCCCATGAAACTCCTTATATAGAAGAGTTTTACAGCTGTTCTCATAAATTCTGTAACAACGAAATATTTCTGATGACCGAATTCAATAAGTTTCCGAGTTCGGCCATCAGAGATTTTTGTTGTCCCAGAATTTATCTGTAACTTTTCTAAAAAAGTTACTCGGCCGGGTAACGAAAAGCAATTTTATTTGTCTGCATGGCCTAATACTGTATGAAAAT